AGTCTCTTATTTATCAAAGTCATTTAAGTCAAGATGTTTTTCGGAGCATTTTATTATCTGATAATCCATTAACAGGCTATTCCAAGTAAGGAGCTTTCAGCAGTTCTAGGAGAATGCTGGTAATGCCTGTGGTGCTGGTGCTGCAAAGCTGGGTGCAGGAGAGCCTGAGGCAGGAGACCAGCTGCTGGGTGGGAGCCAGAGCCCAGTTTAGTGGATGCCAGCAGGACACAAACTCTCCTTCATCAGCTTCGGAACTGGCAGAGGCCAGGGATCAGGCCTAAACAAGTCTGACTTGCATTTCTCATCATAGCTGGGGGGCACTCCAGCTGAAAAAAACTGAACTGTCAAGGTGAGGCAACTCCAGAAGTTGCAATTATGTTGTGAAAAGCAGGGGCAAATCAACTGGGGGCAGGGAAAGCTGTCACTTGCATGAAATGATGTTGCTTCTAGGCTCCTACTGAAGACATTTTCAGAAAGGAGATTTCTGTGTGTTCCCAGAGTGATTTGAAAGAGAATTTCCTTCTTTCTTTGAAGAGAGTTATTCTGAACAGTCAGTCTTCCTGGGACAAGGATTCAGTGCGCTGTATTCTTCCCAAAGGAAACCGAAGCGCTCTAAGAGATGGCCCACAGCACTGAATTGCAGCCTGCCAGCCAAGCAGGACATGTAGATATAACCAAGGTGGGTAATGGGCACAGTGCTGTGGGAATGTGAGTATTTCAAGAACCACAGAATCACAAAATATTCTGAGTTGGAAGGGACACACAAGGATCATTGAATCCAACTCTGAAATTAATAATCTGGAGTACTGGAAATGCAATATTTCCTCTTTTCATGTCTACAAACTGTGAGAAGTATATCAGTGGAGAAGGAAGGCAGAAGGTGCAAAAGCCATCCTACAGAAAAAGGAGGATTATTCCCATTGGTTATGAAGAGTTGCACTACATCTGTTTTGAGGAATCGTTTAGGTGTCACAAATCTAATTCACAGAATTAGAAGAAAAAGACAACAAAAAGGATTATCATTTCAACCATCATGGCATAAGAACATGTACAGATCCAAAATGTCTGTCAGATATTTATCAAACCTGTTCCTGAAACTTCTAGTCGTGAAGATCCCACAACCTCCCCAAACAAAATTTCAGGTCTTCCCTGAGCCCCCCTTTCTCCAAGCTAAGAAACCCCAGCTCCCTCAGCTGCTCCTCATAAGACCTGTACTCTGGACCCTTTACCAGCTCCATTGCCCTTCTCTGGACACACTCCAGCACCTCAATGTCTTCCTTGTAGTACAGGCCCCAGAATTGAACACAGTATTACAGGTGTGACCTCATCAGTGCCAAGTAGAGGGCAATTAAAAATTTTTCAAGGCCTGTTTAAAAGCCCTCTGAAGTCATCAGAAGTATTTATATTTGTAATGCTGGGGCCTGAAGAACAGACCCTGGGCCAAAGTTGACCTATAGATGAATCTTTTGACCTAATATTGTATTTAGCGTAGTATTGTATTTAGCCATATATCTACTTATTAACCAAGATGCTGTATTAGCCTTACTAATACTTTAGGAGTACACATTTATGCTTGTTAGCCCAGCATATTATTAATAATTAGTAAGGCTTGCATGTGTTATAAATATGTCTTTCTTTTCAGCCAAGGCCATGAGAGCAGTAGGCCTCACATGGCCACAGCTGGTTCATCTTTGAGATGCAAATGAATCCATAGTTCTATATTTAGAGACTAGTCAAAGCCATGAGGGCATTTGACAGTAGTTGATCCAAATTGATTCCTGATTTTCCCCTGGCCCTGGCCAGGCTGCAGGGGAAAACCAAGGAGAGAAGAAAGCCAGATTGTTTTTCCACACCCATCGAGTGATGTAAGCTGCTTTGTTTAACATTGTATAAGCTGGACCCTCTCACAGCAAAGATGGAGGCTTCACCCTGCGAGTGGACACACTGTGTAGGATTTCCCAGTTACTGGGAAGAGTTCTCCAATCCTTCACTGTGATAGGGGCCTCTCCAGCTGAAGCGCAGTCTGCATGATGGCAATGGGTTACTTAGGGTAACTGATGATGTATCTCTGTCTTAATCACTTTAAGATAGTCTTTGTAGTAATGATTAGATGCATTGCTAAGTGTATCCTTTCATAAGCCACTGCTTCTTTTGTAATTCTTTACTGTTTTGCACTATAGTGAACTTACGCACTTATTCTTTAAAGTTGGTGTCTATGTTCCTTCAATCTATCCTCATTCCCAGGGCAAAACAGATTGGCAAAACAATATTCCACTGACAGAATTTACTGAATCAGTGGCTTGAAGTATCTCTGTGAATAACTGACAAGTCTTCAGAAGTTCAACACTTAAAGAAAATACACACTCCAAGCCAGTGCAGCAGAGCTGCATGATGTTCCCTAGCAAAAGTGTAGAATGAGCAAGCATGTACAAATCTCTCCTTCTCCAAGCTGAAAGCATAATGAAAGTATTTTATAATTTGACACTTGACATTCAAATACTTTTTTTGTTTTCATTACTGCGCAGCTCTATATCTGTTTTTTTCAAATTAAGAACATTATTTTGAACTTACCTCTCACTTATTTGTTTATCCATATTTATTTTCCTTTTCAAGGGAATAATTTCTTCTCCTTCTGATTTTTCTAATTTTGATGAAATCTGTGATAATTTCTCACAAAATTTGTAGAGTGTTTTCCTCCAAAGAGATGCCCCTATTTTTATTTATATTTCCCAGTATCTTATAGTGATAATACTACATTTGGCTTTTCCCCCCTCACTCTTTCTCATTCCACACTTACATGCTGTCTTTTCTACATAGAGTATTGCTTTGGGAAAATAAAACTTTTGAACCTATTAACATTACACGAGTTCAAACCAATAAACTTTAAACATCTTGTACTGAGGTAGGAAGGAAAAGGGGAATCTGAGAAAGAAAATCAAAGCATATTTGAATAAAACAAATTTCCTTGTAAGCTAGTACTGTGATATGAGCAAGCTTGTGGACAAACATTGTCTGACAATGTATCCAGAGTGTGTACTGACATCTTTGCTTGTGCTGGGGGTTTAATGTCACCCACTTTTTAAAAAAACTATCATGTGCTGCACCCTTCTGGACATTACCAGGACAGCATATTCTCCAGAAAACCACACAGAACATCAGGTAGGCATAGTTTTCATGAGCAAAGATGTGATTTCATTTATTGCTAATAGAAAATTGGCATAAAATATCTCTGATTTTGATTGTTCTAAGATCTAAATTAAATCAGACAGAAAAGGCTTGCCATGCTATTTACTGTCAGATCTAGAGTAGTTTCAGACTTCTGCATCTATAGTCTATGGCATTTGCTACCTGAGGACAGAGCAAGTAACACTGTTGGTGACAGAAAAAGAGAGACTTGGCTCCGTGCAGTTCATATCCCTGGTCATCATGTCCTCCTGCATCTCTTGGTGACCCCACATCTCTCCTATATTAAGTTGGGAAATCTTCAGATCCTGCATGCCCTGCTCACTCCCAAATTGTCCTCTAGTCCTGCTTCTTCTCATTCACGTCCCCTTAATGTCTCTGTGAGGTACTCTTGCCTTCCATTAGGCGAGCCTGTCTCTTCCATAGCCAGGCGTACAAGGTGGATATCCCCAGGATTCACCTATGCATGTTCTGACATGCTGGTTGGAGGGTACAGACCTGCTGACTGGCCAAGCAGAAATGAGTGATGTTTGCTCCCACCATTAAGTGTTCTTATGGAAAGCAGATTTTGGTTTCTTTTCTCTGTCCAAGCACTGATTTTCTGAAGCCTTGTATGAACACCTGAGTTATGCCAGATATGGTAGAGGTTGAATGATATGCTCAAAGAATGACTGTGGAGGTAAGGATATGGATAAGCTGTTGATGTGTTGGCACATAGACACAACACAAAAGTTACCAAGACCAAATACTTGTTTTCCTACTGGTGTCCCTCCTTTTGCCTTTTCTGACTACAGGTTACAAAATGGCTACCTACTGAGAGCCCTCTGCAGTGTCTCAGAGCTGAGGCAAAAAGGCCACTTCCCCATTATCTCCTCACCAGCCCAGGGTTCATTTCCCACCTGTGCCCTGGAGGCATGTGCCTTTTGACCACTCCTTTTACCCCAGACTACTTGTCTAGTCATCAGTGCTCACAGGGATGTGGCTATTTTACATGGCCTTTCCAGACCACCATTCTCCCAGCACAGAGGAGAATATGTGGGACTCCCACCTTCTTCCTAACTGTCATTCTCATCTGTCTTCCCAATCCCAGTTGAAAGCTACACTGACTGGCCAGTTGAAGCTCCTGAAGGCACTATGGCTGGGAATGCATGGCTTGCCTTAGCTGAGCCCCCTGGGGCCAGCAGAGGTTGTATTGCTGAAATGCATGGGGCATTCTGCATATACCCTGAGGTCTGGGCAGACCTGAGATATTAGTGACTTTGCCTGGAAAGCAAAAGCACATCATACACTGAAAAAAGTGAATGCTGCCTCCTAAGTCATGAACAACAAAAACTAAACCAGAAATGGGAAAAAGCTGATGGAAGTAATCTTTCCTCCGGAAATGGCATTGGAGGTTGTTAAAAACAATTCTGATAGAGTTAGCATTATTAGGATCAGTTTTTGGGGGACTGATTTATACAAAAGCATAAATCCAACCTAAGCAGTGCAGGTCTGTGACAGAAAATACTTTTGGAACCTAAAACCAAATATCCAGGACTATATAGAATTAGGTTTTGACTGAGTCTCCATACTTTCCACCACTGCGATTCCCCTGTTTACCTTAGCAAAGTGAGGCCAAGCAATCTGAGAACAAAAGCATGTCCCACAAAACAGGAAAGTGCCTTCACATGTCCCAGCATCCAGTAGAAATGATTGAATCTGATTTGGTAATCCATCCAATTCAAGGTTGTTTGAATGGCCACATCATGGCAAGGGGGGAACAGCATGGGAGAATGATTAACTTAATCCTCCTACCTTGTTTATTTGATGCTGCCTCACTTCAGTGCAAGTCAATAAAACTTTGTGCACTGACACACACAACTTCCAGCACCCGCCAGCGGGGCCAAAATGAGGATTAGCAAAGCTGCCTTTCTCTTTCTGTTCTTGCTCAGCTCAGGTAAGAGTCCTTTGCCTTCTCCTTGCCTAGGTGAGACCTAAACACTTGCGAGTTCCATGTGGTCAAGGTAGGTCCCCAAATCCCTGCATCACAGTTTCCCTGGATGATGACAGATTCAGGACTTGCTGGCCAGCAAAAGCTGCTGCTCAGTAGAATGAGAGCTGTGGTTGTTCTCGGGTTGTATTTGTTAGAGACACCAGAAGAGCAGCAACCTTGGTGTCTCTATTGGGAACTAGTGGCTCCCTGCAAAACTGCCCCATGGCCAGAGATGGGGGCACCCTTGTGAAGCAGCCTGTGAAAGGCTTCTACAAAACCCACAGCAGTCACTGAGAAGGTTATCTCTGATTTCAGCAGGTTTTGGATCAAATGCTAAAGCTAAAACTGGTTTTACTACCAAGCATTGCTAAGCACTGTGATTGTGGTTTTAACCCTTTATGATAGGAGTTTTAAAGCTTTGAAATGAAATATTAAATAAAAAAAGGAAAAATTACCAAGTTCCTTTATATTCCAGAAATTTCAAATTTTTCAAACACTTCTAATAAAATGTTCTCCCTCATTTTGCTGAAGGCAGTAGTTAGGAGCTTACTCTTCAGTAACCTAGATCACCTTTTCTAAAAATATGTCTAGAATTCTTTTTTACAACACCAAAAGAAGATAGGTGTCCCACTAATGGTAATATATGATTTTCAAGCTTATCTACAAATGTTGTAAATTATTATTCCACATGTAGGGTGCAGCACTTTCACCGCTGCGACCCGGGTTCGATTCCCAGCCTCCCGGGCAGATGGAGCTCGTTAGCCCTGTAAGGCCATCCATCTAAGAGAAGGTCACTCTAAACAAACCTATGTTCTGAGACCCTCACTGCCACTGTCCAAGCTTGCTCGGCCCCGGCAGATGAACCTCAGGATTAAAGGGTGGGCTCAGTTCAGCGCACGCTGTGTCTCACCTAAAAAATCCACTGCGCAGGCTCGAAGGGTTAATGACCTTTCCCAAATCTTCACTCTCGAAGACTGGCCATTATTATATAGTTTACATTTCAATCAGATTTTAATCAGATACCATACTCTCTAGTACTTTAAAATTGCATATAATTCTATGGCATTTAAATGACTTTTAAAAAGTACTGTAAAATATGTATCAGTACAGTTTGTATGAGTTTCTAATAGCTCAGACATTTAAGGTCAGAATAACAGGAACATATCACTGGGTTGTAAAAGACAACTGATTAAGCGAGAGTTTTTGTTTGCTCATTGTTATCAGCTTTAGCTGACTTGCTCCAAAGTGATAGTACATTACTGCCTTAAAACCAATTTCTATGTGTTCTGGATCAGTACTGGTCAGGTCTGGAAAGATACATATATAAAAGAAAAAATAGGTTTGTTCACATATATTTGAATATTCTGTTCAATTATCATATGCCATGTCTGGGTTTATAAAGGTTTGGACTTTAGTGAGACTAATACATTCCCTGATGCATTTTTAAGTCTGTTGTATTCTTTTCTTAATTTTTCATTTTGCAATGTTTTTCAGACAACTAGCATCACCTTTTCACCTTTTCTTTTTTGTTATCTAAGCTTCTACCAATCTGAATTATCTTTTAAGATGTGTCAATTAAGTTTGGAAAGCAGTATTTTCCTGTTCTAGTCTCCTGCAATTCTGGAGCATTGGCCTTAGTTACGAAAAAAATTCAGGAGAGGAAGCAGTTGTTTACCAAATCCGTCAGGAGAAATTAGTAGGCTGGGCTATTGGTGCTCCACATAGTCCAGCTGTGACAGTGGGATTAGATATGGGAGGCCTCAGTGTCAGGGATTTCTTAAGACACGTGGTTTTTATAGCATTGAGCCAATTCTGCAAACAGGCACAGACGATGCCCTCAGGCAATTAATCATCTTACTTTCATTAGTGGCCCAAATACCTTTTATTTCATATGAATATGTATCATATGGAGGTAGGTGATGGATGACCTATATGTTGTGGGAATTAATTACACTGGAGTGATGCTGCAGTGAATTGAGCCTAATATGAGTGGAAAAATGAAAGATTCACAACATTACCTGTGAGAATACTGTACAAAATTATGAACTTCCTGTATCTATCAATAATAATCTAGCTTGAAAAAATGAAATAATTGAACTATATCACTTGTGTAAACTTGTAACCTGATGCTGGAGGTGGAAATAAACTCTCATAGAAATTAGGAACAGAATATAAATTCTTTATAGACATAGAAGGAAAAAAATCAATTAGTTGGCAAAATCCATTGTGAGCAACGTTTTAGAGCTGTGTTAAATGTATTAGCAGATACCTCATATATATCTTATGCACATGTAGCTTTCAGATATAATAATACTAATCATTTATTAATTTAAAGTCTTGGGTTAATTTGTTGCAACAGAGATGCAGCCTGACAATTTCATTAGTAAGTCTGCTCAACCCATTACAATAAAATAATGGTGGCCATTGTAAAATGCTATTTAGTAATTTTATGACTGTGGTTTCTTGATCTAGAACAAGACATCTTGGGACAAACAACTAGCTAGTGACCAATAAAACTGCAGTGAGTGCACAATCCACATAAAATGTCATAATATCACATCCAGCTAATTCATTCTTTTTCAAAACTTTGATATTGTTATCACTTCCTCTTTCTCTGACTGGTGTTGACACCACTTAGTCTCTCTCCCTCTGTTTCCCCCTCACTCTTACTTCACATTTCTTGTTCTTAGCTTCAAACTCATGCATAACTCCATTCAGAACTGCTTCTCTACATGTTTTTTCTGCTGGTTTTTTTTCCTATGGCATGTTACAGTCATACAACTGTGATTGTGTCGGGAGACAGAAATTACATGAGAGTTTACAATCTTTTACCTAGAATTACACAGCATAAATAGTCTCTTCACCTGTCCAAGCTACACAGAAAATGGGACTGAAATTCACAGATCTTCTTAACTGCAGAATTTTCATTTTTAACGTCTGATTCCTTTCCTTCCCTTTTAGTGAAAGGAGATATACTGGGTGACTATATAAGAACAGATGGTGTTTGGATACTAACTCGAAATAAACAGTCTTACAAGACAAATAACGAAAAAGAATGTGCAGAGAAATGTGAAGCAGAAAGAAATTTTAATTGCAGGTAATTCCTGTTGAATCTTAAAACTGTGTCATTGTGGATGTCTGCATATCAATGGTATTTTCCTACAGTTGCTCAAAACCAACATCCCCATTCTGCTGCAGCTCTGCCTACAGCCTGTACCTTTAGTTTGTGGCTTATCTTCACCCATAAATTACCACAAGATCAAGTAAAGAGTGGATTGACAATGTATTTCTCATTCTATAGTAAATGTTCAAGTTCCCACTCTTATTCATTATATGGAGAGCTACTTGTGCCTCTTTTGCTAGATGCTGGCTTCTTTCACAAAAGAAGAATGAAATGTTTCTAATCCATTGTAGGGAAAGATACTAACCTGAGCAGCTAGAATGCTGTTGATAATGTTTTGCCAATGCAGTAACTAGCTTCCCACACAATAACCTATTCATATATAGTCTTATGTCCTGAATAAATGAGCCACTTCAGAACAATAAAAAAAAGCCAGATTCTAACTCAGTGTCTCAAATATTGAGTGCAGTATCTGAAAGATAGAAATGGATACAGGACAGTGCTATTAAATTAAAAATGTATAGAACAATAATTATTAGTTGAATAATTTGTACTGAATTTAAAATATTGTTTCCTATGTCAATATTGCTTCCTTCTCAATTTCAACAGGGCTTTCCTATTCACCAGGAAAAAGCTACAGTGTTTAACACTGGCTGAAAATGCTAAAATGTCGGTGATGTTCGCCAGCATGGATGCAGTTCTTTATGAAAAGAGAAGTATGTATACAGTAAGATGCTACTCATTAAGCCTATTTTAACTTCATCCTTGTGCTCTCTGCTGCAGTGCTGGAGCAAACCACTGCAGGTGGTGACTGTTTCAGTGAGGTGGGTCATGCAAATTTTCACCTCCTCAAAAATTATTCCATGGAAGAATTATTCCATATCTCCAGCCTCAATGTTCATCCCAGTGACCTTCCTCAACACATGTAATCTAGAAATTTAGTCAGAACCTTCAGCTTTGCTGCTCATAGCCCCATTGGAGCCACCTCTTCCTGCAGAAAAAAAAAATCCTAGCTTGGCGCCCTCTCATGTGTCAGGATTGATTTGTCTTGTTTACTTTTTACCCTTAGCTAAAACTGTAGGGTGAGGTACAGGTCTGCCCCCCTCTCTCCTAATCCTCTTGGAAGCAGAGCTTTTCCTTCCTAGCCATATCCAGGACTAAAGGAAATGTCACCACATGAGTCCACTCCAGGAGGAGACACTGTATCTTGTTCCTCACACCAAGGGACTAGCTCATCAGCCTGTAGGTGCCTGTTATGGCAGGTGTACAAAAGCGTACAGTCATTTTCCTTCTCTTTTTTGCTAGTAGGAATACAGAACTGTCTCATTCATTCTGAAACTCACAGCTACCGCTGCCAGCATTGTTGTGAGGTCTCTGGATAATCCAAATGGCAGCATTTTGTATCTGTTATGGCCCAAATCCACCTCAAACCAGAGATACTTCTCAGAAGGCTGTTAGAAGTGAGACTCACCTTCCTAGAAGCAAGTAACCACAGTATCACCCAGCCTGAACTCGTTTTTTTAAATAAAGACATTTAGTTTCCTTGAACATCAGAAAAGTTTTCTGTCCCCACCACAACTCCTCAGCACCAGGAAATAGCTGCTGTAAAACTCCTCTCTGCTGAGATATAACGGAATTCGTTCTGCTGGGAAAAAGCAATCTCCAGGACAATTTTGTGGCTCTGCCACTCATTTAGGTTCACAATGACTGTACAATCTCACCTATACCTGACTCAGAACTTGGAGTTCATAACAGCTGCTCTGGCCTCAATCTTTGCTGGAATTTATTTTCCTTGGAATTGGATTAATACCCGTGCAAAACATCTACTTTGACACAAAAAGTTTCATCCATTTATGAGTGTAATAGTTTGTCTTTTTGTACTAGGCCACCCAATGTTAGGCACTTCCATTTTACCCCACCACAGACGCTTTGGGATGTGTATGCAGACCATACTCTGGATTGTCCATAGTTACAAAGGCAACTCCATGAATATATGTCTGCCAGTTACTTTCCATATGTTAATGGCAACACCTCCTTGCTAATAATTGGAATAATTCACAAAGTGGACTCATTCACTACATTATGTTGAGTTAGATTTCTCACTCCCACCTTCGAAAGTGCATTTTCCTTTGGTTCCAATTGGCCTCTTGAGAGTTTAAGAACCATGGCATTTTTACTAGCTGAGTGGTCATCTGGGATGCTTACCTTCTTGTAGGGGTAATAATCAAAGCTTTGGCACTTAGTCACTGAAACATTTCTGAAGAACTCGGTTAGAGACATCTCATTCTTTGCAGAGCATTTTCCCAAATCAAACCTTAAGTTTGTCTTGACATATAGTTTGGCTTTTGATCTCATCCTTCTTTTGAAGAACACAATCAGGGGTTATAGGCGAGCAAAACAAACTCCTGTATAGGACAGAAAACTAATTGAGAATATGGAGGCCAAACAGAAAGAAGCTATGTCACTAAAAATGCTCTTCAAGAAGGATCAAATACTGAGGCCTAAATCCATGGTGGTCTCAATGTGCCATTTGACCTGGAAAGTTACTTGGTTGTTTTCCTTCCTGACCCAGCTATACAGTCTTCACCCCCTCTCCCCGGCTGTCAGATGTGTCCAGCTTTATTATTTAGACAAGCTAAAATAATCTAGGAGAAGTCTGACAACATCAGAAAGTCCATGGGCAAGGCTATTGACCAGAGATGGACATGCTGAGACTTGGGTATCAGTGTTGGAGTAGCAGTGACTAGACTTTTGGTCCCTCCAGTAGTACCCTGACAAACCAGGCAGAAGCTCCCTTTTGGCAAGACATGCAGCACAGACATTTGTAGTCCCAGCCACACATTGTGATTGCAGTAACTATTGCAAGGTGTTCAAACAAGGTTCAGTTTTTCCTATCAGATTGGTACCTCGTCCTTGCTCTAACATTTCCATTTTATATTTTGGGGTTTAGGGAGATTCTTCTTGTGCAAGCAAATTGCTGGAAGGGGAAAGCAAGATCACTGCCCTCAATAACTTGAAATTTTCCAGTGTCTGTTGCCAATAAAAGCATCATCAACATGATTTGCATTCTCTCTGTCTTGGAATCCCACTAGAAAGGACCTGGGAGTCTGAGGCTAAGAGGAATCAAAGGTTTGGGGGCCATTTATGTGACAAGTGTATTTTGATAACTAAATATTTTCTTTCTTGAAGGAATAGTTGCCTGACACCCACACTGCAAATGTGCTTGTGAACAATGCCTTTCAAAGAATCTCCAGCTGCTGGTGAAAGACATTCCTATTTACCCCAGTATTATGATAGTAAAAACATGCATTTTTGCATGTCAAAAACACCTGTAATTTGATACAGCTATTTTCTTCACTAAATTTTATTAGCTTTGTAAAAATGCTTCAGAAATTTTTCTCTTTAATTTGTAACTAATTTGTTTTAAATTACATCATAGAATCACATATGTTTGCATGTACAAGAGGTTCAAAACGTTGGTAAAGCATGGCTCATCGTGAACTGATGAACTTCAGTTATATCTGCAGACTTTCAATTTCAAGACGTGCAATGTTGTAACACCACTGAATTAACAAAGGCAATTCCATTTCAGTTTACCTTCTAGAATGTAAAAGAGGGACTGGGAAGGACTACAGAGGAACAGAAGCCAAGACTTGGAGGGGTATTCCATGCCAGAAGTGGGCAGAAAAAATACCCCACAAACCAAAGTATGCCCTTGTTTATATTTGTCTTTATGTTGTTCTCACACTCTTCCAAGCTTCCTCAACTTCATATGTATAAACAGCCTTATAGTACAAGTTACGAAAGGCAGTTATCAAGTGACTTTTTAAGACAGCTTTATCTTCATCTGTCTTGATGCTTTTGACTCTATTGGCAGAGAACTGCAATGATCTGGATAAGGAAAGGATTCATTGTCAGGTAGAGAAATTGTGTCTAAACGCGAGGTGTCTTAACCAGATGAAATGCTCCTATCAACACATGATGAAAATTTTGCTATTGGTGACAGTGGGATCATAATTGCACTGTTTGGTATGAAGTGCAGAAAAAAAAGCACTGATACCGGTCCAGCTCTATGACTCCCTGCCTGCCATATAGACAGTCAAGAAAAAACATTAAGAAAAGTATCCAAGGGCCAAACGTACCTGGCCAGGTAGAGTTTTCTCAGGGCTGGCTGCCACTGGGCTCACTGAAGCAAGAAGGGAAGCAGAGATTCCGTTTCCTCTGATCTGCTTTGGAGTTTTATCCTAATGCAATTTGGATACACTTGTTCAGATTGTTTAAAAGCCATTTAGTCTTCTCTGGTAAGATTACTGTAGGAAGAAGCCTAGTGTCACCTGCTTCAGGTCTCTGCATGATCTGGTGTTTGGTGAATAGTCTCTAGAAATACACAACTTCTGAAGTAGCTCCATTAATACAAATGCGTGACAGAGCCACAGGTCATAGTGAGCAGATTAGATCAGACGGATGTAAGTGTTAAAGGCAACAGTTGTCCTTTGAGACTGTCATAGTCCTTGCAGGCTGTAAGATCACTCCTTATTGGCAATTGGGACTTAGGGAGAAAGCTACTAATAATGATAGTTACGGAATGTTTTTTCAGTTTTCATTTATGGCTTACAGTGGGGAATCTGTTTTGCTCATTTTTACTGTGAATGAATAAAGCTCACAGCTACCTCAGCAAATTGGACATTTCCCTTCTGCTCCACCAAATTACTGGTATTAAAATAGAATTTTAATTACAGCTATACACCTCAAAAACACCCTAATGCAGGCCTGGAGGAAAACTACTGCAGAAATCCTGATGGGGATGAAAATGGACCCTGGTGTTACACAACAGATCCTGCTACCAGATATGATTACTGTAATATCCCAGAGTGTGAGGACCAGATCACACACACCGGAGAAGGTATATTTACTTTTCACAGAATGAATTTAAGTAGTTAGTTTAAGTAGGTAATATTATTCCTGCTACTTGTTTGTGCTTAATTATTGCAGATTGTTTTCAAATGAGAATTTAAATCAAACTGAACTTAAGAATTTCTCAACACAGATGTTTTTTCCTAATTATCTTGAGTTATCAAAGTAATTTCATAAATATGGAAGAACTTAAATTTTTTAATCATTTGCTGATATTGTCCTGCTCTTATCCCAGCAATTTATTTTATTTTAAAGAGAGTAAAGATTGATCCAAGTGCTGTGTTACATACTGAACTCCAATTGCTATCAGTACATACAGATACGTGACAAATTTCTCCCTCCAAAAGCATTTTGAATTTGGCTAAGCTTCTGAATTATTTTCATCACTAGCTTGAGCAAATCCCTCTTTTTCTTTCAACATATTCTTCCAGGAATAGATCAGGATCTGAATTCATGGGCTGGAGCGTTCCTTGTTTTTTTTCCATTCTGCCTAGGACCTACAGCGGAATGCATGCAGTGTAATGGTGAGGACTACCATGGAGAAGTGTCGAGAACAGAGTCTGGGCTTCAGTGCCAACACTGGGATTCCCAAGAGCCTCATATGCATGGATTTACCCTGAAACAGTGAGTCACATTCGGCACTGAATTCATTCCTACAGAGCCTGGGAGACAGAGCCTAATTGCTTCAGCTGCCCATAACTGATTCACAAGCTTCTCTTTCATTTTCGATGTGCAGCTATCCAGAGAAGGATCTGAAGATGAATTATTGCCGTAATCCTGATGGTGAACTTCGGCCCTGGTGTTTCACTACCAGCCCGACTAAACGCTGGGAATATTGCAAAATTCCTCGTTGCAGTGAGTCTGATTTCCTGAGATCACTCCAGAGGGTAGCTCTTCTCATTACAATTATGCAAGGAGGGGAAAGACAAGAAATCTCAGTTCTGAGTAACCTGAGGATACCTTTGTGAAGGAAGGAAAGCACAGAGTAATACGCAGAATGGCTCACTAAATTTCAGTTATGTAAAATCATGTAAGGTTAGTGAGGATGTAGGTGTCATGAAGTACAATAATGCCAACGATGTTTTGGGAAAACAGAATTTGCCTTTAACCATTTTACTTTTCAACTTACCTGAGAATTTAAATTTACCTGAGAGACTGGGCATTCAGGTTAAATCAGGTGGTAGTTTTCTGCTGATCAGTTAACTAATGAAAAACATCTAAATCACCACGTGGCCATACTGTGATATTTTACCTGAGTCTGGCCAGCACAGCCAGCACCGTCTTTTTCTTAGCAAGGAGTGAATCCTGAGAAAGAAGTTCAGGCCTCGAGGAAACACCTGACTTATCAGTGAGTGAGCGTAACCCATTGAGCTGAGCACGCTAAATCTGGATATTTCCAAAGCACTGAATAAGGAGAGTAGCATTGCTATTTGTAGAACTGGATGGCATTTTTAGAAAAAAAAAAAAAGTGTGTTTTTATCTCTAGAGCTTGCTTTCTTAAGCATCTGCACTTGCCAGTGCTCTAAGCAGTGGCACGTGTTTGCTGGATGTAGTTCTCTTCAGCATGGTCCATTACAGGTGGCAGAATAACTATTTATAGACTTCTGCATGATAAATTGTGAAAGTTACCATAGCATTTCCACTCTGTGCTTAAAACTTGAAGTTTAAGGAAACATGCCAACGTTTTAGAGTCATACTTATCTCCTTGGGAAATTCTGTATACAAAGTATATATAATAGGTATGTGCTGTAAATTCATTTTCCGTTTGCCCTCTGCAGGTTGTAGGCCTCTGATCATCACTCTTACTTTCTTTGCTGTTCCCCACGTGCCAGACCACTTCACTTTCTTTCTTTCACTCTTCCTTCTGCCACACTTTCCCAAGTCACTGACTCCAGAGGCTCAGCTCTGAAGGCTGCTTTGCTTTCTCTCAAAATTTCTTCTTGTCCCTTTCTGCCCTTCCACCCTATTTGTGTGTATAATATTCATTTCACTTGGTTTTACAAGACTGTACAGGACTACTTACTGCCTTTCCTGTTCTGCTCTCAGGGGACTGCAGGCACAAAGTCTGTCTTGACCCAGCAAAGTTATTTATTGGCTGCTGTAAAAGGGCAGACACAGGACATCTGTCTGGCTGTCCAACTGCTCGTAAAAATGTACGAGCAGTTTTTTGTTTTTGTTTTTGACATGGCTTTTAACCCAGGTTTTTTCTCTGCTGAAAGAAAAAAAAATTGCACTTTTGACATTACAGAAAATAAACAGGTTTTATATATTTTTGAAAGTACTATTTTCCTTGCCTTCCCTCCCCTTCATTTGTGTTTTCCTGTTACAGCTACACACCCACCAGTCTCTGGCCCAGGCTCCCAGTGTCTTTCAGGGAAAGGAGAAGACTATCGAGGAAGGATAGCCATCACTGAATCAGGAAATGCGTGTCAACACTGGAACACACAGTTACCTCACAAACATGGCTGGATTCCTGACAGATATCCCTGCAAGTATGCCGAACCTCATCATTGTAACAAATACCAAAGAACATAGTTATTCCTTATTGAATCAGATGCAGAGACAAGAGGAGCCCAGGTGCTCCTCATTTCTCCTGATAAGCTATTTTCTTGCTGTTTGTCAGTGCTCATTACTTCCGTTCAAGTCTTGCTCTCCATCTTTTTCTGCATCCCTCTTTATTCTCATATATTTATCTCACCTGTCTGACCCACATCCCACTGCAAAGTTATAAGTAGTTACTACTGAAAATCCCTTGGCTGTGTTTCAGCACATTTTCAATGCATTACTCTTCTGAAGAGTGACGCTCCAAGGTCAACATGCTCCAATACATCCTTTTGCTCCAAGGTCAGAGGAGCTGGGTTTTCAGAGAATTATCGATGTGCAAGGGTAGCTGGGACTGACCTGGCTTATTACTCTGTATTTTGATCCTGCAAGTTTTCTTGAGCATGTGAAACCCTGTCCACTATCATAGGGCAGAGAGCAGCATGCACTGGTGCTCCTACACACTTCCAGGATCAGTCTGTCACATCCAGCCTTGCCTGGTTATTACTGTAATGTCAGGTACACCAATGGCTTGTGTTTCGAAGTCAGCTTTTACTGCTGTACCTTGGCCTCAACAAGAGTAGAATGCGAAAGCATTGAAACAGTTCTTCATATACATTCAGCATTTAGACCGTAAATTAGTCCCAAAACAGTGATGCATGAGGTTATTAATCTCCAAAAAGAATAAATATAACCACTAAGTTGACTTCTGCATGCAGTAGTTGTTAATATTCATGCACAAAGCTCTTCTGGATTTCTATGAGTAGTTTAAAGCCAGTGTTTTTGTTTCAGGGGCTTAGAGGAAAACTACTGTAGAAACCCTGATGGAGAGAAGAGACCTTGGTGCTACACCATCAACAGCAGCGTTAGATGGGAATATTGCACAATTCCTCCCTGTGATGGGAGAGAACAAGAGAGTGCTGGTATGAATAGTGGAGAGTACTTGAAATAAGGACTTTAAAACAGTGAGAGGTTTATTGTTTCTCATTGTAAATGTATTAAATATTTTTTCAGTCACTTTGTCACTGTTGTTAATGCTTGTCTGCCTGGCATGTTGCAAAACCTGCCAAATATTGAACTTTCAGTGGTTAAGAAAACACAGTGAAGGATGTAAATCACCAGGTGACCCAACAGAAGAATTACTGGATAAAAGAGGATTATTTTTTTATATTCCTTTTTTTCCCAAATGTAGGGCAACTATAGCAAGTTCACTGAAAAATTAAAATCAGGTTCAAAGACATGAAAAACTGCTAAATAAAAGGAACTCCCATTTTTGGAAAGTAGCCACAAAAGAGAGGACAGGAGCTTCCAAAGTCTTATTTCCATATCAAAATCACATTGAAACATTCATTCATTAAGGACAAAAAGTAACAAGAAAGTCTTAGTGCAATAAAAAGGATAATGGAGAGATTGAAGCTTAATATAATGTCTGTTTGAGAAATTTATCATGGTCAAAATCACCAGCATTTCATCTGTGAGGATTTCTCATGTGAACTTTCTTATCTTTAATTCTAGCATGTTCACATATACCAAAATGAAACCAAATGGTGAAGCCTTCACTGAACAACATTTAACACATGATGTTAAGCTATGAAAGTTTTCTAAATAACTTTGGAAATGCCCTTCTGCTGCTGGCTGTTATGGTCTCACTGAATGCTGTCTGTATAAATGAGTCATTCCTTTTTGTCATTCTGTGTGTTTGATGCTTTCTTGTGCTTACTCAGTAAGAACATAAAACTATGATGCAAAAGACCAGTTTCTGTTGTTTGCTGCAGATGTGCCTATACAGGTTCCCCTGACAGAGGAGTGCTACCGAGGCAAAGGCCAGAGTTATCGTGGCACAACTTCTATCACTGCATCGGGAAAAAAATGCCAGGCCTGGAACTCCATGTTCCCACACAGGCATGAAAAAACCCCAGACAAATTCCCAGATGCGTATGTTTATCTTACCTTTTCTCTCTTTCTCTGACAATGACTGTTGCTTGGTTTCCATTATCTTTGTACATCTATGCTTTAAAACATTGCTAGGGAATGTATCTGTGAAAGAGATTTTTTTCCAAGACATAGAAACATTTTCTGTTAGTCCCATTTTTAAAAACAAGTCATCTAAATTCTGAGCAAAATATGGCTGTATCCCTTTACTCTTAAATCTGAGCTTCTGTAACCAACAGCAGGAGACTTGTATCCAGAGTTTGGGCATCTGCTGAAATATGTGTTTTGCTTATGAATTTAAGATTTTTGTGGCGGCCTTTCTCATTTTTTAATCTTGGTAGAACACAGCATTTATGATGCAAAACACACTGTCAGATACATTATGCTTTGAAATACCATCAAAGTGTTCTTTGCAGTTGGAATTGTGCACCCAGAATTGCATACTGAATTTTCCCCCTTAATTTGTCTTCTTCAGGCTGACAAAACTCTACCAGCAGTGACTGGATCAGTGATGAGCTAACCATAATCACTAATGTGCCAGTTTTTAGTAAGGGTAGGAAAGCAACAAGATCTCAATTACGAGAAAATCCGTCCATTTTTTTACATTTTTTATGCTATCACCCAAAATAATTAGAATTTTTCAGTTATATTTAGGCATCAAAATACTGATGTATTGAAACTGGAACATCCTCGGGGGGGATGATGACTTTCAAAAACATTTTAAAAAATTAAAATCAAATAGCGAAAATGTGGAATTCATGTGTTCTGTCATATTTGGAAAAAAACCATTTCAGTTCTTTTTTATTCCATAACTGTGCTGTGCCCCACGAAGCACAGACTTGGGAGTAGTTCCACTGAATTCAGTAGAAACAGGGTTTGGGAGCGTGAGAGGCGATCAACTGTATAAGCATTTATTTGTCCTTCTTCTGAATGTTAAAAAGAACCCTTTGGCATTAAAAAACCAAAAATTTGTAAAAGCATAAGGGCCCACCAGCAGTATGAATCTTTCTGCATATTTATTACTAATTCACACATTCACATAACTGCGTGTGCTTATACATATATATTTAGAAACTAAATTATTGGCATATCAGGCATTTATTTAGGCACTCAGCATATTGACATGGTACATCCAGAATATCAGCCAGTAATTGAATTATGTTTCCTTATGCATAAATGTATTCATGACTCTGATGTACATGTGAAATATAACTCTTCACCAGCATCACAGTCATAAATGTGTTTGCTATTAATAGGATATCTGCAATAAGTGAAAACAATAATAAATGTTTTTATCCTTATAGTACAGTTCCACAACTTTTTATCAGGATATTTCTATGCTTACTTCCAGTCTTACACAACATGACCATTGACTATATTTTTGCAGGGATTTGAGGGACAACTATTGTAGAAATCCAGATGGTGACAACAGACCATGGTGTTTCACCACTGACCCCAACACCTTATGGGAGTACTGCAATCTCGAGAAGTGTGATGATCAAACACAAGAGCCCATACCAAATGATTCCCCCGCAACGATGGCGCAAGATATTAGCCCGACGACGCGCACCACATCTGGTAACAGCTGGCTATAAGTGGCACCTCCTGTAGAGTCTGTGGGAAAAGGAAATAGTAATCTATCAAAATAATTCTTGAGTGTTGTGGTTTAACCACAGCTAGAAACTAAGTACCATGCAGCTGCTCACTCATTCCCCTATTCCTTCCTTGGTGGGGAGAAAAATGAAAAAAGATAAAACTCAAAGGTTGAGATAAGAACAAAATAACAATAACAATAATAATAAATATTGGAGAGGAATAAAACCCAAGAAACACAAGTGACGCACCATACAATTGCTGACCAATGCCCATCCTGTCCCTGAGCAGCAAGTAGTGGCTCCCACTAGTTTATGTACTAAGCATGTTGTTCTGTGGTATGCAATATCCCTGGGGCTAGTTTGGGTCAGCTGTTCTGTCCATGGTCCCTCCCAGCTTCTTGTACACCTTCTCACTGGCAGAAAATGGGAAACTGAAAAGTCCTTGACTTCCGGTAAGCACTACTTAGCAACAACCAAAACATAAGTGTGTTATCAACATTATTTTCATACTACAGCTAAAACACAGCACTGTACCAGCTACAAAGAAGAAAATTAACTCTATGCAAGCCAAAACCAGGACACTGACTAGGGCTGCAATGTAACAGTTACACCCCTCCAGCAGCTTTCAGATCGGTACTGCTGCATTTTGCAGCAAGTGCTCTTTAGTCAGTTCATGTCCTGTAGCCTATGTCATTTTAGTGCATTCTGAAGGACAAATTTTTCATCCAGGGGAATAAGAGGAAAATAGACAACTGTGATGTATTAATATAATACATCTCCCAGGGTGCTGTTCAGCACCCTTCATGAAACCCAACTCCTACATCTCCCCTTTTCTTTATTATTATGAGGAAATACAGAACATTGCATATAACAGTACATTTTAAACTTTGTAAACCCCCTTTAACAATGACCACTGCGTCACAGTGATTCAGTTCACTGCCTACCTTGGTCTCTCAACGAACTTACTTATTTGAACCTTTATCTGTAATCCTTGAAACTTGCTTGACATAAATTTGAACTTTCACTTCCTAAGTGTTTGTGTGTATTTGGGATAAACAACAACTTTATTAACCTGAGAGTTTTTGCATAATCGGGCAGAACATCAATTCCCACTTCCCCAAGGGCCTGCATGTAATTGGTAACCAGGAGAAATTCAACTCCATTTCAAGAAAAGGGCCCTTAGATAACAAGTGTTGTAATGCAAGTGTAATTTGTTCAAAGCACATGAAGCACAAAGTATCTCTAAGTCTACATACATACATGTTTACACAGTTTCTCTCATTCATACAGTTTTTTCATTCATACAGAAGTGGCCACTTCACATTCTCTCCTCACACACGCATACTTAGAATTTTTATTATGTGTCTATTTAAATCACATAGTTTAGGGTTTTGCAGTCGTTATTGGTTGTATGCTTTGCAATCTGTCACTTCTGGTAATCATGTTTGGCAACTGTACTTGTTTTGAAAATTTGAAAAGGAATTAATATTAAGAATATAAGGCTTAACAAACCTAAATGTCTTACCTGTTTATGCACATGCATTTTCTCTTTCCCCTCCCTTTTGTTTTTGTTTTAGAAAACCATAAGTTAATAAACTCAAAGATACATACACAAGTTACCATCACAATATGTTAACATAACTTAAAACTTAGCATCTCCTGTAAACAACTAGACCAAGTTACTATCACAATAACTCAGTATATAAAACGAGTTATCATTACAACATGTTAACACAGCTTGAAATTCAGCACCCTTTGCAAGCAATCAGTTTAAGTTGTCTGTGGTTTCTAGAATGCGGTTAATTTTCAGCTTTTGTCCATCCATTTCTGTTAGTGACTTTTTGCCTTTAGTAACAAACTTAACAAACATGTTAATAACAATTTAAACAGTCTCAGGTGGCTAGTGTGGAAGAAACATGTAGAGGTTAGGCAAACGCAGTTTCTCTGTAGCTGTATCTAGGAATGGCCTTTTGAAGTAAAGCAGTAGAAGTCATTTGATGCCTTTCAATGTCTTTTTGCTTCAAAGTTGCCTTTTGCTGGAGCTTGAAATAAAGGCAAAAAGTCATTTTGTTCTTTTATTGTCTGTTTACCTCAAGGTTGAAGGCTGTGTGTAACTTCATGTGTTCCGTGTTTTAATGCTGTAAGGGCAGAAGGGATCAAATACTTGTTTATCATTCTCAGTGTTCATGTGAAATCTTAGATAAGTCTTCATATAAATTATCAAGGAATCTTTTCACTTGCTGAAACAATTAGAAAACAGAGTATAAACATTTTGAACATTATCTTAATAACAAAATCAAACCCTTTACTACGTTGGCACTAGAAGATTTTGCACTTGCAAACACAAAAGCAAGCATTCAGTGTTTCCCATCATTCGTGGATATCACAGGAATCAGAAAAGTTTTCTTCATTCTCACTGAAAGCAGTTCGTCTTGTTTGCTCTGGCAGGCGTCTAATAACTTGGTTTTGTGGAGATAAACTCAAAAGGCAACTTTAAGGATTTTAGACAACAAAGAAAATTTTTCTTTCCCCATAGTGATGTAAGTTAAACAGTTAATAAGAGTTAAACTGGGTGATGGGAGAGATTTCAGTTTGTTATGCTTTGTTTTCCCTCGTCTAGGACAGGGACTGGGACAAGAACTGGAGACGACAGAATCTCTCTCCACCCAGTTGCCAAGCAACTGATGATCGCTATTACGCAAGAAGCATCATTTTGGCTCCTGAAAGCTTCACTCCTCCCCCACCCCAGACAGGGGCAAAGAACAAGAAAATCCACCGTCCCTAGCTTTGAGAGACTGATAGTCCTGCGAAGGGCTTTCTACTAACAGAGCTTCTATTAATAGATATGAAAGTATTTAAGAATTTAACAACTTTAACAATTTCTTAAATGATTAATTACCAAGGTTGGAGATGCTTAGGAACTTTTAAAACACGTTATTTGAACTAAATTGTCACAAAAACTGCTTCTATTCAGGTGTCCTTGAGGGTTTAACAACTTAGCAAGCTCAACAATTTAACCAAAGTCTTGGGGAAACTGATGAAAGAGTAAGAAAAAACCTTAAAGTTTCAATGTTCTTGCCAGAAGTCCTGAGACAGCAAGATACAAAGTTAAATTAATTTTGTATGCTTCTCGGGAGGCTCACAGCAAAGCGCTGTAGCGTTGAGTTGTGCAGAGACTCACCTGAGCTATTTGCAGCTCAGCTTCGCTCTGTCTCTGCACAAAGGGTGTGAGCTGTCCTCTCGGCCCCGGTTTTTGTTACTTGTTTTCCACCGTAGACGACAGAATTGCCCCCCCACAGGGGGGGGTGGTCTCTTGTCAGCGCAGGTTGGGGGCTGCTGTTTCCCTCTCTGCTCACGGCAGACCGTGCAGGGCTCTGCCATTTGTTGCAGTTCGCGCTGTCTCGGCTTGGCACGGTTTTAACACTTTGTTATGGAAGGGGAGGTAGTTTTTACCCTGGTTTCTGGTGTCTCCGGTCCCGTCCCGACTCCGGCAGAACTGCTCCCCGCCGCTCCCCTGTGTAGGGGGGTTTTGTAGCGAGGCAAGACGCTCACCGCCCATCCCCACCCCGCGCCGGGGCTCCGCGGCTGCCGCATCGCTACCGCTTGGATTTCGGAGCTGCCCCCGCCCCCCCGGCTCCCGCACAGCCGGAGCCGCGGCTTTTGCCGCGCCCCTAGGGCTTTTGTGCCGGGCCAGGGCTGAGCGGGAGGTGTTCGCCCGTGGGTCCCGCGCCTCTGCGCCGCGGCATGGCAGGGACTCAGCACATCTGCGGGCACGGTCTCGGCAGTCTGTATGTTTTCTAACTGCCTGAGGAAAAAAAAGAGGTAAAACATATTCGGAGCAATTGGAAACTTAGGAAAGTTTTCAAATACTATTTCAAAATATGTGCGATTATGGGAGCTGAAAAACACATTTTAGTTAAGACTTAACTAAATCAGAAGTTACCAGGCAACATTATTCTTTTTATTTCTTTCTCTCAGAGCTTGCCTTTTCCCCTTCTCATTGCTTACATAAACTGAATTCACTAAACAAGAGAAAAGAGAAAGAATAATTAGACATAAGACTTTGCCACCTTTTATCTCTATCTGGTTTAGTCTTTCTTCTGCTTCCATATACACTGTATTTGCACAAATAAGGACTATACTCAAATAATGCCCTTGCCTTTAATTTTGATCTTCAGATATACGTTTTTTTAAACATCTGAATTAAGCTTGCACTTAACTTCATGTAGTCTAAACATTACTGTCTGCATAGACTTCTACAGGGATCTGCATTCACTTCAGACCGATAGGATTTTACTGCTGGACTTGGCAATACTGAGTGAACAGTTGGACTCAATGATCTAAGAGGTCTTTTCCAACATAAACTATTCTAAGATTCTATGATACATAGGCAAGTCTGAAGACTAATCCCAAGTCCAAGCACTAGCCTTAAGACCTTGTATCATAGATAAGGTGCCATCCCAGGAACTGTGAAGCCTTTAAGTCAGAGCTTGCTCAGATCCAGCCATCTTTGGGGCACAGGCAAAATGAGTTCAAGCTAGAGGTTTTTAATGTCAGTAAAACCCTTACCTAAATTTTGTTCATAGCCTAGCATTAAAAATCAAGCATGTGGTCTCCTGGTGCCCAGCTCTCACTCCACCTATCCTGATGGTTGAGTATACCCAGCTCTCTTTGATCTGCTTTTACTGAAGCAGGAGGCAGTTCCTCATCCCTGCAGCTTCCAGCAGTGATGCTGGCATCTGTCCTCATTCAGTCCCAGCTCCCACAGACACATTTTTGGCCTTGCTGAGCTATATGCAAGGGGTGCCCTTCCCACCCCATTTGCCAGACACCACTTTTTAATAATCCACCTGTAAATCAAAGTCAATGAATTCTTCTTCATGTGTGCATCCATAAAATTAAAAAAAATAAAAGGAACGAAACATGACCCAGTCTCTGACTTTCACCATGAAAAGTTTAGACATAGATTGTAGAGCTTTTTTACCCTCCCTGCGTTATTTAGCTACAAAACTGATGCTATGGAAATAATGCTTAAGAATAATCACTCTAATTCTACTGTAAGTCATCTAACTCATCAGAATTATTAAGAAACACTTTTCTCTAGCATATACAGTAATTACTGGCTTTCCTCTCACCTTTTTCCCCTTTCTTACCTTGAAAGTTTTTCTTTTTTCATTCAGCTTGCCACACGGTGGCAGCTGCTTCATATCTTCTAGTGATCACAGCCACAAAAAAATGCTACAAACCAGATTTCTTCTGGAAATGCATTAGGATGGAAAAATCAACAGACCATTGTTGCATTTAAGCAGTGTGAAAGAGGGTCCCGCCATGTCTTGCAGCTTGGTCACCAAATCAGCAGGGGAGGGAGAGCAGTCAGAATCCCACATCTAAATTTTGGGAAAATTCAGCTTTGGCTTCAGGAAAATTCTCCTTGCCTGGAAAACACTTTAGGCTTGAGAGAGTTTGAATTAATGTAAAGTAATTACAGGCTAACACTGAAATAAGCAATTGGTACTGCACCATGGCGAAAAACTAGAAAGCAATATAATGGCTCAGATTATGTAGCATATGTTTTTATTTCTTTAGTAACATTTTGTAGAGTAAAATACCCTCTGCTTGTTGATGTTAGGTATGATCCAAGCTCAAAAAAAGTTGGAAGATTTAATAAGGTCCTTCAAGGACCGCAGAGACTACAGTAGAGCTGGGGACGAATCCCAGTTCTTTCATTACTGAGACTTCACAGCTTCACTAGATCACAACACCCAGGCTACGATTTATAATTGTTATATTTTCTTGCTTGTTCATAAAGGTACCAATGCAGATAACAGATTAAAAGATGTTGAATTCCCTCTGCTTGAAAATGAAATATGTAATCGCCCTGAATTATGAATGGAAGTGTCAAAAATAATGAATTTTGTGGTGGATTTACATTTGGAGGCATAGATAACTGTGAGGTAAGAATAATCTAGGTTTGAGTTTAAGCAGATCAATGCATATAATTTGTATTTTCAAGGCTCAGAAATAGCTTCAGCAACTCAACATTTTTGCATGAAGCCTAAGAACTGAGGTATACACAGCGGTTTTTTTCTTCACTCACACAGTCAACCAGCATAGCAGAGAAATTGTGTAGGATAATATCCTACTCATAGTAGCCTAGTGTTGTGAATAACCCTCTCACCTGAAGTAGACTGTAATATACTGCTTGGGCTTTCTTCTGTTCTTAGAGATAGAGGTGAAACTAGTGATTGTTTCTGGCACAGGCTGGAGTTGTACCGCATCTTTATTTAGTCCCTTGATTAAATAAAGCTTTCAGTGATTCCAGTTTTCTAATTTTCACAAGTATATGAAAAGATTTTTAAAATGTAGTTTTCTTAATGGAGGCTATCATATTGGGAGCTTTTCAGTAAAAAGCTGGTAACTGGTGACAGAGTCAGGAAGCAAACACAGGTCTGTCTGAGCAGATGTTCCAGATTGCCAGGGTAAATTTTATCTTTGAGAATGTGGGCAGTGCATTCATTTATAGGGCCAAAAATCATTGGACATATGTACTCATATCCTGCCATGCTTGGATTTTAAGGAACGGCATTAAAACAATTAAACTAATTTTGCCCAGTAGATCAGAGGATGTGGAAAATTTGTGTGTTTGTAATAGGTCTCACAGTAATCTGGGGATTTACCCACATCCATGACTGGTAGATCTTCATACCAGGAAAATGGCCTGGCTGCTTGGAAACAACTTTCCACTCCCCCCGTCCTGCAATTCTTTTACTCCAGCAGGTCTAATAAAACACACTCCTTCTCTCTCGAGTCCTTGGGTTAGTCACATTTTGAGGCCTTCAGAGTTACAATATTAATCCTGCAAGTATTTTGCTGTTTGCATGTCTAGTGTCTCCATCACTAGAGCAGTCACTTTATACTCTCTTTTCCTTCCTAGGCTGAAGTTGGAGGACCTCTGGTCTGTCAAGATAAGGACAGATTTGTCCAATATGGAGTCACCTCTTGGGGACTGGACTGTACCCAGCCATCAAAGCCTGTTTTTGTCCAAATTCCTAGTTTTGTTTCTTGGATCAAGAATGCAATGGCTTCCCACTGAATCTGGATGCGGGTTAACTTGTCTGACACAGTCTCCGTGTCAGAAACAATATTCCAAGTATGATTTTAAAACTTGTTTTAAAAATCATGTCATAATTAATAAGAATCTTAAATAAACATCATTACTGGCTGAGCATAAGTAGCTATTGCGAAGCAATAGCCAAGTTGACCAATTGCTATTGTCTGTCAGAGTGTCTGTGTGGTACCTGTATAAGTCAAACATGTTGCATGCAGCAGCATCTTGAAGGTTCCTACGTCGCCACTCTCTTTTAAGGCATGCTCCAACTCATGAAAGTGTCTTCCTCTGTGTTCAAATGCCTGCTTTTCTCCTCTCCTGCAAGCAGCTGGCCTGTCTCTGTGTACGAGGTCTTCCCAGTGCAAGAAACTTTATCACAAATCAGGCCTGACCCTGTACCCATCACTAGCATCTGCTCCCCTTTCTGTAGCAGCTCCAACCCAGCTGCTAGCCTGGGTAAGAAAAGGGAAAGCTGAACTGTGCCTTTGCTGTCAGGAACTGGATGAAGGTACGGTGCATCTACTTCTTGTGATTAATTCCATCCACTCTCACCACCCTAGTGAAACTCTGTGCTGCGCTGTGCAATCAGCTAACCCTCCTAGGTTAGATGTTTGCATGGAAAAAACAACTACCCACTGCAGCGGGCAAAGGGGTGAGTTGGATGGCATTTGGTATGGTTAACATGTCTGTGAGGCACTTGCACAGAAATCCAGCTCTCAGTTGTGACACCAACAGTTCAGCCCTGACAAGAGTTCAGGAATTAAGAAATGTCTCAGAGGGCAAGGATGTCTCAGAAGGATGGTCAAGTGAAGCCAGGGTGCCACTGTGTGCCTTATCAGACTTGGCAGCTCGTGCTCCTGTGCACTCTGCAGCAGGGAGATGGAGAAATAAAGGGTACCTGCAGGTTAGTCAAGCCTCCCAGAACCTGGAACCTGATCTGGGTGCCACCTAGAACAGTGGAAAAGGACTGCCACTGAAAGTGTCAGGGAAGACTGGGTTAGTATTTCAAGCAGTACTGCAGTGATCAAAGGAAATTGCTGAGTGGGGCATGTTCTAGCAGAATCAAAAATCAACAGAAACACACCTGTTCCGTTAACTTCAACTCACCCAAAGTAGTTCCAGAATTTTTAGCGGTTGTTGCAATTTTCTGTGTATCACTTAAAAACATTCCACTTCCAAACAGAAAATGTATTGACCTAATAGCAGAAAAAATGTTCACTTCCTATGGACCTGTAATCTGAACAAGGATTTCTGTATTTTTTAGTCTTCCAGCTGAATGTCTGATTTAAAGTATATTATAAATCTTTATCTGGTATTTGGGTATTTTATTATTATTTTTACAAGGAACTCTGTAGAGATCAGGCTGTATAAATTTGTTTTGTGATTTAAAAAAAAAAAATTTGCATACTCTGCTTACTCCTTGATATTCTCTATGAATTATTTATGGTTTCCATTAAACCCGTTCATCAATTTCTTTTGCTCATCATGATACTGTTTGAATAGCTGTTCCTTAACACAGTCTTTCTTAACAGCATCTTTTTCTTTGATTCCTTCCAGGTTTTGAATATTGTCCTGCTCTCCAAGTTCTCGTTTTCCCTCCATCCAGTCTGCCCTTAGTTTTGTACACACACCACAGCCATAAGAACAGGCTACATTTTTAAAACATGTGGCCCATAATGTGGAGTTTCTTTCACTATTATAGACCCAGGGGAGCTGGAGAGGGTGGTGGCTGTCTTTCACTTTTTTCTGTGTGATCAGCTGAACAGGCTGTTACAGGGTGACCATACTTCAGCCTACAACCACTTTGGCAGCCTGTTGTTACCATTTACCTCACTAATCAACCTGTGAGACAGGGTTGGAGAAAAACCTGAGGTGTGAACTCAGAAACAGCTCCCCTTGCTGTGTCAACCAATATAATACACACTCTATTTGCACCAGTTCAACTCTAGTTGCACCAGTTTTTTGCTCAAGCATAGTACTCAGTGCATCTCCCCTAGTTCTCCTGTTGTAATGTAGCCCCAAAAGCTTTTCTTGAATGGTATGCTCAGGAAATTTGGATGCTTTCAGAACCTGTTGAGCACAACATTTCCCAGAGCACGTGAAAGCCTTGCTGCCATCTGGCACTTGCTTTCTATCCCCCATGTTGGCTTTGCAAGTTGTGCCAGTAGTGCTGTTCTTTAAAAAAACATTGGCACCAACTCTCTGCAATAACTGGCTGGACCCAGTTATTCTTGGTTTTTTTTCGTTCCTGTAAGACATTCTTCGGGTCCTATGGGCACTGTCTAATGGAAATTTCTGGTATTTGATACTGACTTTTGCTAGTAGATACTGAACTGTGCCTGCTGGGTGTTTGCCCCCCTGGGTGATGCTGTTTCCTGCAGACGTTTTGCACAGTCTGCCTGTAAGACACAGATTGCAGTAGCACAGATGTGCAGCTTACTGCCCATGAAACCCAACAACCCCACGCATTTGTCACTGAAATACTGCTGCTGTTTCTTGTAAACCAAAGGCTATTATTCTTGATTTCAAAGCATAAAAAAGGCTATTCTCCCCAGACACTTTTTTTAGTGTACCTCTCAATACTATCTGGTTAGATTTGGGTTGACTGTCAGTGTAACAATTTTCATGTCATTATATATCACATTTGGAAACAGGATTTTTTTCCCAGGAATCCATCAGACTCATTAGGAGTCCGTCCTCTTGCTACAGGATGTTCTCAAGGGCTGAAGACTGTCCAGCCTTCACTTTGCCATATTCTCCAAGTCTTCTTTAACTTGATTCCACAGTTCTTTAAGTTTTTTCTGTGTGTCATCTTGTGACTTGGGGTATGATTTCAGCTTTTGTGAGAATGCAGTCTGGAAATCTTGCCTTATTTTCTCCAGCTGAGGTTTTAGCTGTTGTCTTGCAGCATGGGAATTTTTGATTTACTATCAGTCATATGTCCTGGTTTAGGCACATACTGATATTTTACTTCTAGCAAGGTTTCTTGCATTTTCCAGTCTTTTGATGTTCCTAAATAATAAATCTATTTTTGTATTTACGGTTGACTACTAGGACTATGTCATTATCACTAGGACTGTGTCAATACATTGTCACAGAATGTAGGAACTTGGACCCTGATTCTAGTAGTAACACCAGCATTTTGTCATCAAATGGGACTCTGCATCCTTGGCACACAAATACCATCCTCTTCTTTTCATCAGTGCTTCTTGGGTCTACTTCAATGCACTGTATGTTCTTACTCTGCCACACTTGCAAATGTACCATTGAATTTTTTGTTTGTTTGTTTTCCTGTATTTTAAGCCTATAGATAACTGCATCATCATGGCTAGGCTTCGTGAACGAAGATTTGAGAGATAACTGCAACACTCTAAACTTTTCTGAGTGCTAGAAATGCATTTTTTTCAAGAAGGTATCTTACACAAGGTATTACAAGACTAATGGGTAGTTTGCTACTAGGAAAGGTGTTGTAGAGTTTGGAAAAAGTTATGAAGATAACTTCTTTTGCTTACAGCATCATCTCTTCAAGTTTTTACCCCACTTTCATCCACCCTCCACCCTGTTGTTCATGATGAACCTTATGTGTCTGCACTTCCCATGGCAGAAATTGAACATGATATGCTACAGTCTTTGGGACACATGGTGCATGTAAATGGTATATCTTTCAGAAATTTGCTTTGCATTAAAATATAATAGGAACAAATGATAAAGCTCATCAGCAAATTTTCCTGATCTTAACTCTGGAGTTTACATGAGAGTCAGGGAAAAAAGACTTAAGCAGCTTTTCCAGTGTTGTCTTTAGCAAATGCAAGCTGTGGAATCTAATGGCAAGGCCTTTTTGCATAGGAACATAAAAATTATTAAAGGATAAAGAAGTTTTATACAGCATCCATTAAACTGAAAGTGTCATAAACACTTATATAAACTGCTTGTAAACAGAGGTGTTACAGTAGGTTATACTCACATACAGAAAAACACATACATATGTGCGCACACGCACACACGTACACATGCAATTTGCCAAAGTATTAAACTAAATCTGAAGGTAATATTCTCATCTTGCTGAAATATTGTTGAAAATCTCACTGACTCAAATGGCTTGAAGTGATCAGTTGGACAGCCTTGAATGGAGTATTAACAATAACATTTGCTGCCTTGCCCTTTTAGCATTTCACTTCAGTAAGTTTAAACTGGTTAGAACATCCTTCCTTTATGCAAGTTAATGATCCAAGAACAAGTATGGAAATAAACTGACATGTAAGTGACAAGCAGAAACTGCACTTGGAAATTTCAATATACACTTTGTGTGGAAAATGGAGGTGCCTTGTTCCTCTTCTGAAACTGTCAGAGAAGGAGCTATAAACATTCATCTTAGTGACATTTCTAGACAGCTGATTTCATCACTAGGTGGAACCACTAGTAAACACACCACTGCTGCACAGATCTTTGTGTGTAACTGTCTAAGTGTGTAGAAAAAGACCAAAACAGCCCCTTAGAAATACCATGCATTTGCTGGGGTCTTTGGAGGCACTTGGTCAACTATTGGGTAAAATGCAAAATCTCTCCACACATTCTCTCTCTGCTTTTCTAACCTGAAGTGGAATAGTAGTTATGCTTCTTTTCTTCATTTTCTCTCCCACATCCTGCTGCCAAATATCTGCCTCATCCAAGGACTCCCCAGTAACTCCAAACATTTTGAACAGAGTGGTCAAATGGTTAAATTGTACCATTAGGTGTGAGAGAGAGG